TCTAGCACAACAAACCCAAGCAAACCAGATTCTACAGTCAAGCTACAAAACGCATTGTGAATAAAATGGTGGTAGCAATTCAAAACAATGCATAAAACTTGCTTGTATAGTTCTAGGCGTGGGCCGGGCGTGGTCTAGTTCTTATCACGTCAGGATGCAGATCGGATAGTCCAAGGCTCGAGTCTCTAAAAATACTACTCACTTTCAGTTATGTTCTTGTGTGGAATTGGCAGTCAGAGCGGTTAAGAGTAATCGCGTAAGGTTTTTGCTGATTGTTTTCACTTCCTCTACACTTTCCCCCAGTGGCACAGCGGCAGGTCTGTGAACTTACAACGCTAGAAACCGAGTTTCGATACCCGTGGTGGGCAGAGCACAGATAGCCCATTGTGTAGCTTAATTCCAAAACAAACAAACAAACAATCCTCTACACTTAGTTAAAAATTAAGGACAACTATGCTTGAACTCTGAACTCTCTGAAATATGTGCCGCAAAAGGTGCTGTTGATTTTGAAAACATCAAATAACATTTTGTAAGCATGTACTGTAATAACCTCGGATGTGAAGTAATTAAAGAAAGTCGATAAATATGCTACCCATATAAAGTTAAATCAAAGGCTTTGCATACAAAATCATAATCTAGAAGTGATACGAATTATAAATGAAATCGTCTAAAGTTTAACTTAAACACACACACACGCATCATAAATTTAGGTTAAGCAACAACAGTTCATAAAGACGCAACCAAAAAATGAAAACCATATAAAGAATTTCATGCAGCTGATCTTGTCAACAAAGTAACAATCAAAATCATATTTAAACAAAGTATGCGTAGACCTACTGCTCGTTTCGTTTGCTCTTTCTCAATTAATTCAAAAAATATTGCTTCACACTGTAATAAACGAACCGTTCTGACCAGTAATAACAAGTGAACAGAAATCTCAGTACTTACGATTTATAACTGCAGTGGTCAAAAGTCGCAAAATGAGATGCATAGAAATATCAAGACTCGTTTGTGTTAGCGTTTGGTCTGAATTTCGCCCAAAGCTACACTAGGGCTATCTACGCTAGACTTCCCTAATTAAACAGTGAAAGACTAGACGGAATGCAGCTAGTCATCACCACCCACCGCCAACTCTTGGACTACTCTTTTACCAACGAATAAGTGAGACTTATTGTAACATCATAACGCTCCCACGGTTGAAAGGGCGAGCATGTTTGGTGGGCTGGGGACTCGAACCCATAGATTGCAAGTCGAACGTCCTAGCCACCTGGTCATGTGGTATTAGTGTATAGAGCCATAAGCGTCTGTTTTGTGTTACCTAACTTAGGTTCCCCGGCAATTTCTGAAGGAAGGGTCGGGTGTGGCTAATACTTTGCCTGTTCGAACAGTGAATCCAGGAACTCGTGATTCGCGAATCGTTGCCGCTTCACACACATTAGGGCCATGGGTGCATGATAAGAGTGACAGTGAAGAACCACCACTTGGTAAGATTCCCAGGAGTCACCCAAGAGTTGTCGGTGAGGTCTTTTTTACTAATTTCCTCCTCTCTAGCCATCAGTTCAATATCAAGGAAGTCTATGCGCATATAACCCTTATTTAACTTTGCACTAAATTATGAAAGAAACGATAGTTTTCTGTACTCAAGTGTATACAAATTTCAATTTAGAACGACTAATATACTAAGTATTTCAACGATTCAGTCACTTTTCTGCGGTCCAGGAGTGGCTTAGTCTGGCTACGGATTGAACGATTCAGGATTCCAGACGAGATGCCACGGAATACCATCCTCATCTTGAGTTGTAGAAGTAATAGTCAATACCGTTCTGCGATTGAGAGTATCTCTGTAGGTGATGGGCGCTGCTAGCTGCTTTCACCTCTGGGCAATAGCTCAAAATTCGGCACAGTTACCCCTAAAACCTAGAAGTGTCTAACTTGGCGTTTTAGCCCACATGCTCATAAGGTGCTACTGACGAGAAAAAATCTAATTAAACTTTTCAGCAGTTTGTTTGTTTGCTGTCACGCACAAATATCACAAAGGGCTATCTTTAGTTTGTCCACCGCGGGAGTCGAAACCAGATTTTAACATTATAAACCATCAACTTTCCTATGAGCCATGGGGGGGGGGACTTTCAGCAGTTATTTCTTTTTATATATATAAACTATTAACTCTAAGGGGGGGGACTTTCAGCGGTTATTTGTTTTGTATATATATATAAAGTATTAACTCTAAGGGGGACGTTTCAGCAGTTGTTTGTTTTTATATATATAAACTATTAACTCTAAGGGGGGGGACTTTCAGCGGTTATTTGTTTTGTTATATATATAAAGTATTAACTCTAAGGGGGACTTTCAGCAGTTGTTTGTTTTTATATATATAAACTATTAACTCTAAGGGGGGGGACTTTCAGCAGTTGTTTG